CAGAACACTTTCAGGCAGGAAGGTAAATCGAAAGAAGAAATTATAAGCAATCACTCAGTAAATAACCGTGTTTTACTAAGAACGTGTCCAGTAACTTTATATGGTCCAAGCTGTCAGATCGACACATATGCACTTTTAGATGACGGTTCAACCATATCTCTGCTAGATTCGACTACTGCCGATGAATTAGGCATCAGTGGTAGCATTGAACCCCTTACCACTTGTTGGTCAAATGCAACTAAACATTTTGACCCAACGTCCAGACGAGTTGAGCTTAAAATAAAAGGGCTCTATGAAGATGAAGTTTTTACATTAAATAATGTAAGAACTCAAATCACCTCTAGATTTACCCCAACAATCGATTGACTCAGTAAAGCTTCGAGAGAGATGGCCTCATTTAAAGTCAATCGATCAACCTTTACCAACATCTCATGCCAAACCTACCATTTTGATAGGTCAAGATGACTGTGACTTGTTATTGACCAGAAAAGTTATCGAAGGTCCGCCAAATGCTCCCGTACTGTCATGTAGCTACCTAGGGTGGTCAATGCATGGCAAGTGTCCAGAATTTGCTGGACGTGTTGACAATTTCACCTTATTGTCATTTGATCACGACAGATTACATGATTTGGTGAAAAGTTCCTTTGAAATTGACAACTACGGTGCATCTCCAGTAGAAAACAAATCAATAAAATCGGTAGAAGACGAACGTGCAATGTCAATCTTGGAAAAAACAACGAGGAAAATTGGAGAACGTTATGAATCTGGCTTGTTGTGGAAATCAGATGATTTTAAATATCCCTCGAGTTACGATAAAGCTCTGAAAAGATTAAAGCACATTGAAGGGAAGATGGCAAAGGATCCTTCCTTTAAAGACGAATACACAAGGAAGATTGCCGACTACAAGGAAAAAGGGTATATTCGAAAACTAAGTGAAGATGAGGCAAGTATTTTAAATGATCATACTTATTATCTACCTCATTTCGGAGTTGTAAACCCCAATAAGCCCAACAAATTAAGATTGGTCTTTGACGCAGCTGCAAAGTCATACGGTGTATCATTTAATGATGCTCTTTTTAGTGGACCTGACCTTTTGAATCCATTACCAGCTGTTCTTGTAAAATTTCGTCTGGGAAAATTTGCCATCGCTGGTGATATTAAGGAAATGTTCCATCAGGTACGCATAAGGAAAGAAGATGTAGATTCACAGAGATTTTTGTGGAGGCAAAACACGAATGATCCTCCAGATTCGTATGTAATGGAGGTGATGACATTTGGGTCGACCTGTTCTCCAAGCACTGCTTTATATGTAGTGAACGAAAATGCCAAAAGTTTCTCATCCATCTACCCTGAAACTTCTAAATCAATTCTCACTAAGGAATACATGGATGATTTATTAGACTCTGTCAATTCTGAGGAAGAAGCAAAGACTCGAGTGAAAGAAATAATGGAAATTCACAAATCAGGTGGATTTCAAATTTGCAATTGGCTATCAAATTCCAAAGATGTTTTGTCTGGAATTCCTGAAGAACTGAAATCAAATTCAACTAAGCAATTGAAGCATGATAGCAATCTTACTGAACGAGTTCTCGGAATGTGGTGGGATTCAGAAAGCGACAATTTCGTATTTCATCGCAATGCAGAAAAGTTTCAAAAAATGGAATCAAGTTATCCAACTAAACGTGAGGTTTTGAAGGCTGCGATGTCTATCTTTGATCCTTTGGGACTAGTCACCCCTACTACAATCAAAGGTCGAATATTAGTGCAAGAGATTTGGAGAACAAAAAAACAACATGGGATGAAGTACTAACAACAGGACTTACTAAGAAATGGCAAGAATGGTTGGAAGAAGTTAAACAACTACAATATTTTACCATTCCGAGATGCTATTTCAAAACCCTTATTATAAATGAGGTTGAGCTTCATGTCTTTGTCGATGCAAGTGAAGAAGCGTACTCCGCTGTTGGATATCTAAGACATAAGAATACTAACGAGAATACTGGATACAACACTATGTTGGTTATGTCGAGGGCAAAGGTGGCTCCTCTAAAACCAACTACCATACCAAGACTGGAACTACAAGCTGCTGTCCTTGGATGTAGGCTTGTTAAAACAATTATACACGACCTACACATCAACATCGTCCGAAAAATATTTTGGTCAGATTCTGTTACGGTGTTCCATTGGATAAAATCTGATCCGAGAAGCTTTAAACAATTCATTTCTAACCGACTTGTGGAAATCCTTGAAGTTTCACAAGCCGATGAATGGAAGTGGGTACCATCAAAATATAACCCTGCTGATGTCGCTACGAGAAGCAACCAGAAGTTCACTACAAGTAATCATGAATTTTGGACTTATGGCCCCGAGTTTCTAAAATACGACTCAAGTCATTGGCCACAGCAACCGACAACCTTGCAAACAAAAAACAGCTAAGAGGTGAAACAAAAGTTCGTTGGGTTACTCAACGAAGACAAAGAAGACGTTATCAATATTGAGAGATTTTCTTCCTGGAATAAGGTAACACGAGTAACTGCGTGGGTTCTGAGATACATTGGTATATTGCAATCCAGGATCAAAAGAAATGACAAAGACAGACTGAAGAAGAACTCTAACCCCAGATTGATACTGGAACTTCAACCAGATGAAATTCTTAAGGCTGAACACATCTTAGTGTTGAATTCCCAAGACAAAAATTTTAAAGAAGAAAATACCTTACTAAGAAATAACAAGTCACTACCGAAGTCAAGTAAATTATTCACATTGGATCCTTTCGTTGACGAGAAAGACCTCATCAGGATGTCTACAAGAATACAAAATTCTCCTGAGATCAGCACTGACCGAAGATACCCATAGATGGAAAATGTCAAGTAGCAAGACTTATTGTGAAGAACTTCCATGAAAAATGCTTCCACCAAGGAATAGAAACCGTAATGAACATGACACGAGAACGGTTTTGGATACTTAATCTTCGCACAACACTGAAGAAAGTGCAAAGAAGCTGTATGCGTTGTAGGATTGACAACGCCAAACCAAGTCGACCTCAAATGGCACCCCTGCCAATGTCACGAGTAGTCAAGGCATACAGTATCCTTTCTTTTACACTGCCCAATTGAAGTAACTGTTGGCCGAAGACATGAAAAGCGATACGGTGTAATATTTACATGCCTTTCTACACGAGCAATTCATCTCGTAGTGGCTCATTCGTTAAGTACGGAGAGTTGCGTTATGGCAATTCAAAGGTTTATAAGTCGGAAACCTTGCCCTTCTGAGATGTTTTCTGACAATGGTACGAATTTTGTAGGAACAGACAATGAACTTCAAAATGCTGTTAAGTCTTTAAATAATGCCCAGATTCAACGGACAGTCGTAAAGAGTGGGATTAAATGGAATTGCGCCACACATGGGGGGATGTTGGGAGAGACTTATAAGATCAGTAAAAACAACATTGAAAAGTGTTATGCGAGCCCAGTACCCGAAAGATGAAGAACTGCAGACGTTTTTGACTCGGGTGGAGTTTATTATAAACTCGCGTCCACTCACACACGTATCAATTGACCCGTTGGACCCTGAGCCGATCACACCAAACCACTTTCTACGCGAAGCCTACAAAGTAAATATTGATGAAGATAGACTATGTAAGAAACAACTTGCCCGCGTAAGATCACTTTTGGATAGTTTTTGGAAGCGTTGGGTCCATGAATACCTGCCCTGTTTATCAAGACGTTGCAAGTGGCATAAACGAATAGAACCACCTCAAGTAGGGGACTTGGCTATAATAGTTGAAGAAGATAATCAAAGGAATTCATGGCCTCTTGGAAAAATATCAGCCATTTACCCCGGTAAAGATGGCGTTATCAAAGTTGTGGACATCAAAACAACCAAAGGTACATTCCGGCGCCCTCTTACCAAGGTCGCAGTTCTTGGGGGGGGAGAGAATGTAATAATCTATGCCTAATCTATGCCTGCCTTCTTTCTAACTAACATATGTTTTATTAATTATTATGAATTTTGTAAATAGTGTCCAAATAAATACACATCTTTTGTCAAGTCCTATTAATTTTTGTCTTGTCTGTCTTTAATATTTTTAACAAATCTAATGGTCATAAACAGATCCCACACTCCTAACAACTCGCCTTTACTACTTCCTTTACTACTTCCTACGTCACGGACCTGTTTCTCTCCCTTCCCATAGCATTTTAGGATTGCAGATACCTTAATCTAATCGTCATAAACAGTTCCCACACTCTGGACAGCTCGCCTTGACTACTTCCTTCACCACTTCCTACATCGCAGACCTGTTTCCTTCCCTTTCCCTTTCCATAGCATTTTAGGATTGCAGATACGTTAATCTAATCGTCATAAACAGTTTCCACACGCCGGACAGCTTGCCTTAACTACTTCCTTCACCACTTCCTATGTCACGGACCTCAAGCTAGTGTCGTCATTTGATTATATTTATGATACATACCGTTTCTGTTCTAATATCTGTGGAATAATGCTATCAGCTATTTCTTTATCTACTGCATTCAAAAGTCAACAGCTGATCATATGTCTTTGTTTATGTGTCAAATACTGTTTCTATAAGGATTACATTGAAACTTTGAGACCCAGTGGGGCAGATTCCTGAGAGACTTTTTTAACACCATATAGATGTTGGCACTCACCGATATGGTCTTTATCACCATGCAAAATTTGAAAACGATTGATTCAGCCGTCTAGGAAGAGTTTGCGTATTACGAAATGCATAAAAGTCGACGTATAAGAGCTTCGCTCGCTCTGCTCAAAAAATGTCTTTCTTATATCTATAATTTATAGAACGTTGTAAATAGTTGACCTTTGCATAAGTTACCTTTTTATTATATTTGCATACTAAGCTAACTTAGTATTTAGTACCTTAGTGGTTTTCTAGTGGTTTACATACTGATTAATTTAACACTTCTAGGAGTTAATAGGTTTGCAGTGATTAAACCATAAGGTAAAAATAAACATAGGCCTACCTCAAAATTTTCTTTGTTGTTGATTCTAGGCGTTATTGTTCCATGTTTTTCACCTTTATTGTTTATCATCCTTACACCCTCTTTCTCAAACATTTGTTTCATTTCATCTGGAGTTGCAGTGGTTGCAAAATCTAAATCTTTGGGCTTCTTATGCATTAACAAATCCCTAAATATCAAAACAAAATTAGTGTATATGACAAGTTTACTATTATTCAAATCAAATTAAATCATTTTTTATTCATTATACATAAAATAACATGTATTGAATAGAGTCAGATAGGCTAAAAATACATATAACTACATGTTAAAAAAAGTGCTTAAAATACACTATAAAGATAAGTGAAGAATTTATAATTGAATACATTAAAAATATAACACTATTGCAATCACAATAACATTAGCAGTTATTAAAATAAAAAAAACATATATAAATTTTCCGGGCTTAAGTAAAAATAAACAAAGAAGAAAAAATACTAATCATGGTGAAAATTTTAATTGTTCCCCTAATTTTGCTATGGAATTCAAATTATGTAAGCTGCTAATATTTATTTTTTAAAATCTTCTATGGAATAAATCCCCTACTGATGGCTAATACCAAGCAGAGCCCCTTTTCTGCCAAGTAGTGGAAGCACTATACTGCCAGCACCAGTGGTGTGGAAGCGAAGGTATTAGCAAGGGTTGCGCTGGTACTTCCCCGTAGTGTAGGGGGGGAAACGCCTTTTCGGCGGGCTTGGCGCTGATAAGGTAGGCTAAAGTCAGACAACCCGAACCCGGTCCTCCAAGGGTATATGGGGGTTGAGCGTCGGGCCAACAACTCACCTCGGAAAACAACAAAGTTCAGAAACACCAACACAAAGCCTCGGAGAATGGACGGAATAAAAGGAATCGACACTGGGGATCACAAATAACAATGAGATTAGCAGTGTTGGGAAGTAGCGCGCTACTTTTTTTGTAACGTTAGCTGTAGCTACACTACTTTTAAGATTTTGTAGCTTTAGCTGTAGCTAGCTACATTTTTAAAGTAGTTGTAGCGGAATTTTAGCTACTTTTCTCGCTACATTAACATTTGTTTGAGATAGTGATTTTTATCATAACCTCAACCTTACGTGAAACAACCTCTTTCAAACTGAGATTTTCAAAAAAATTAGGCCTACTTTCTTTGCTTCAAACAGCTGGTTGCAGCCGTTTCATTCCCTATTACAACGTTGTGTGGACATAGATTCCATTAAATGAGTGTTATCCACATTTTTGGCTCTCATTTCCTTAATTTACTACTCTATGATTACTGTCAGATAAAATAAAATCGCTAGATGCAGACGACGTTTAAACGGTACTGGGGACAAGAGAAGCTATTGAATTGAATGCTTGCAAGTGATTGACAGGACAGGGGAATTAGTAATCAATTTAGTTTCTTTATTATATCGATAATGCTTTAACTTGGGGTTTAATGGAAACCAACACACCTTGAAATAATGAGAAAGCTGGTCTATCAACCTTTGCTTCAGCTGTTGATTGTAGTTTATCATCACAAGCCCTTCCTTGATTAGATTACGAAGATTTTTCAAAGGTTTACTAAATTAGCAAAGAGGAAATTACCTGATGAGATTTAAGATATGCCTAGACTACATGATAATTGTATTGAAAAAATCTCCATATAACATGAAACTTACATTGAAAAAATAGCATAGTTTGCTCCTGCTAACAGCTCTTGTATAGGACTGAGGCTATGGTTTAAGACGAATACCAAGTTCAATTATTATGAATATATCTGTTTAGTCCTTGCAAGAACAAGCCTACTATAGCCAACTTGTTACATAGCCAAGAAGGCCTACATGTTATTTTTACTTTACAAATTTCATCATGTTTAAATTAAAAACCGATTTCAGGATAAGTTGCTGGATACTGTTTTCTCTACCAACTAGGTTGAAGCACAATTTTCCCTATGCATAATGACAATAATAAAGGACGATTTCTTGACATTGAAAAGTGTTATTCGTAGAATAAGTAATTTATCACTTTAAAATCTATAGCAATGTTGTTTTTAACATTAAAAGTAAAGAAAGGCAATAAACTCCAATTTCAGTAGGCTAGGCTCTGTAACACAAAAAGTATTTTTAAATAATTTTTTTGCAGTTTTATCGGTGTTAATTGTTGATACAAAACATCTATAAATGAATCTAAATTAAATTAATAAAATTAGCTTTTAAAATATAGTTTGGTTGTATGTCCTTTGAACTTAATGAAAATTACATTTTAAGATGCTTCAAAATAATGCAATATTTAAAAATAATTACTAAATATATTGGGACACCCAACTATTTGGTTCTGTTGTTGTAATGTTAGGTTTATAATGCCAACAAATTAAATACAATCTAGGAATAATTTGTTTTCCAAGTAATGTTAGATACAATACTGACATTTTTTTTAATGTTTGTTCAATAAAAATGTAGTTGCAATTAATTTTACATTTACCTAATGTGCGTGGAATAAAAATTAACGTCTTTGGAAAAGTAGCTAAAATTGTAGCTGTAGCTACATTTCATTGTAGTTGTAGTTGTAGCTAGCTACTTTTTCGGAACTGTAGCTGTAGCTGTAGCTAAGCTACTTTTTTGGAAATGTAGCAGTAGTTGTAGCTAGCTACATTTTAAAAGTAGCTTCCCCAACACTGGAGATTAGGCACTTGGAATACAAGAACATTGGCAGTACCCGGCGCAATTGACATTCTCTCAGAAGAACTTGGTATATATAAAATGGATTTGGTGGCACTAAACTTTGGTATATATAAAATTTGGTGAAACTCGTTGGCCGTTGGCAGGAAAGCTGAACACCAAAGACTATGTAGTAGACTATGTAGATCTACTACAGTGGAAATGATGAAGGAAGGTACCAAAGAGGAGTAGGCTTTGCTGTAAGCAAAAAGATAGCAAGTGCTGTGATAAGTTTTGAAGCCCTAGGCGAGAGACTGTGCAATATTAGGTTTAAAGGTAGATTCAAGAATATATCAATAATGAGTGCCTACGCTCCTACAGAGGACACAGACGATGACGTCAAAGACGCTTTTTATGAGCTGTTAGAGGAAGAGTGGGGAAAGTTACCAGGATATGACACAAAATTACTGATGGGAGATTTTAACGCAAAGATAGGCAGAGAACAAATATGGAAGGAAGCTGCAGGACTAAATAGTTTACACACAGACAGCAATGATAATGGAGTAAGGCTACTAAGCCTAGCTACTGCTTGCAACCTGAAAGTTATGAGCACATATTTCCCGAGAAAAGACATCCACAAAACTACATGGATCTCACCAAATGGTCAGGTAAAAAATCAAATAGATCACATATTAATAGACTGTAGACATTCTAGTCATGTACAAAACGTACGTAGCATAAGAAAAGAAGTGTGTGGGTCAGACCACAGCCTAGTTCTAGTCAAATTATACCAAAGAATACAAATAGAGAAGAGGAAAGGAGTACCATCAGTAGAAAATATAGATATTGATAGACTTAGAGATAACAGAACCCGGACCGAATTTAAGCTTAAATTGTCATGCCGTTTCCAAGCCTTAGACACAGTGGAGCAAGAGGCAGAAGTGGAGGACTCAATAGAAAAGAGATGGGAAAATATAAAGAAGACCGTACGAGAATGTACCAAAGAAGATTGTGGCAAAAAAAAAAGAAAAAAAAAGTAAACCTTGGTTTGATAAAGAATGCAAAGAGGCAGTTTTGAAAAGAAGACAAGCAAAGGGAATTTGGCTAAGAAACAAACAAGATATAGATCGAGATAGATACAAAGAGCAAAGCAAGGAAACAGTTAAACTATTAAGAAAGAAAAAACGAGAATGGATCAATAATATTCTGGAAAAAGCAGAACAAGATCGAACAGCAAACAACTCAAGAGAATTTTATCGTGCATTAAGATTTTTCAAAAAAGGATACACACCTTCACCTGTGGGGATCAAAAATAAAATGGGACAAGTTGTAATCCAAAAGGAAGACGGACTGAGAGTTTGGCGTGAATATTTTAAAGAGCTACTAAATGGTGACCTGCAGCAGGAAGAGGAAGAACAGAAAGAAGTCTATCAGACCGTACACCCCTGGATTCCAGAACCACCCATACAAGAAATAGAAGAAGCAATCAAGAGCTTAAAAAATAATAAAGCCCCAGGAGAGGATGGTATAACTGCAGAGATTTTAAAAGTAGGTGGCTTTTGTCTAGCAGAAAGAATCCACAAACTAATACTCAAGGTCTGGAGAGAAGAAACAATACCCAAAGAATGGAAGGAAGCCCTAGTTGTACCAATTCACAAAAAAGGAGACAAAAAAGACTGCAATAACTACAGAGGCATATCTCTCCTAAATGTCACCTACAAAATACTTTCAAAAATAGTTCAGAGAAGACTAGAGGAATACACAACAGATATTGTTGGAGAGCATCAAGCAGGATTCAGCAGAGGCTAACAGAGGATAACATTGGTCACCAATGCAAGTATGCAACGTCAGTCTATTTAAATGTAAAAAGCCGTTGCATATATGGGACGGCAGTCTATGGGTAGAAACCGGCCGTCACATATGTGCGTCACTGGTCCATATGAATAAAAAATTTAGTACTAGGCCTATTGCAGTAGTGAACGTGTTAAACAATCTAGAGGCTAAAATGATTAATTTTATTACAAGACTGGCTCATATTAACGTTAAGAGCTCCAATTCATAATAACTCAATTAAACATGATAAGAACACATAAAAGTTGATATTGCTAAACCCCAATGAAAAGGATTATAATACATCAACAACAATAAAGCAAAGTGATTGTTACCGAACAGCTCCACCAGCAATCCTCAGTTCATAGTTGTGATTTTTGAAAATAGTTGCCAGTGTCATTAGCTCTACAGTAAATAGAGACTGGAATTCCACACTATCTAGCTTCATGATGAATGGATTATCCCTGGGTTTTGATTGAGTAGATAATTGTCGGTGGTTATAGCATGAAAGTAGTCCAATTCTGCATATTGGGAAGACCTGCAACACAGGTAAGCTTGAGTGGACTCAAATGGTGTGTTACTGTTAGAACCTAAACAATAGTAGCAGAGAAATCACACTACTTTGATTGATGTAAAACTAAAACTATAACAGTGAACAATATTTTGACATATATATGATTGACTAGCAGAGTACCTGTCCTTCGTACGGGGTTGGCATATAAGTATAAAATGCGTTTTGCAGTTATAACAAATGCGTTTGCAATGACGGAGGACACAGTTTGATAAAATTTGCTTCTTTAAATTTACAGTATTCTATAGTACCGTATTACACATCTACCATAGACATATTGTTCTACCACTTCACCTAAACCAAAGATTACATATGCTACGCAAAATAGATATTGCAGCCAAGCAATTTTGTGATAGCAATTTCCATGCGAAGCCTAGCGAATGTCTTCACAAACTAAGACTTCATTGCCGACATGACCAGCTGTTATTTATATATTTTTTGTTGTTGTTTATTGTTATGGTTATTTGTGGTTGTTTGCTTATGCTTACACTATAAAATATCACAAAAATCACACATCTTAAAAATTTTTCACCTTAATATTCAACATCTACCGAGCAGAATAAAACCATTAGAAATTACTATTCAAGAAATTGACCCAGATATAATAGTATTATGTGAACACAAAATGAAAAGTCATGAATTGGACCTTCTCACCATAACCGGATATAATATTAACACTTTTTATTCACGTAGTTTAAATGCTGGAGGTGGAGTCATAATACTATCAAAAACAAATTTAAAGGCTAAAAATTTTAAAATTAAAAGTTTAAATTTACCGTCAATGAATCAGTTAACATCTGAAAAGGAATTTGAATGCTGTTTGATAGAATTTAAATGTGATTCATTTTCTTTTGTGCTAGCTGGTATATATCGCTCTCCTATCTCTGATGTTAATATCTTTTTGACAAAACTAAATGCATCCCTGGAAATACTCTCAAAAACATACACTAATGTAATTATGACTGGAGACATTAACATAAATGTTCTAAACCCAAACTGTAATGAGTTTAGACAACTTAATGATATTCTTGGCTCACATAATTTTGAATTTTTACTAAATTTTCCAACTAGAGTAACTGAAAAGACTGAGAGTGCTATTGATAACGTTTTCATTAATTTTTATCCCAACAGCATGCAAATTAGTGGTTTAAACACACAAATTTCTGATCTCGATGCTCAATTATTAACCTTCAACTTGCTCAATAAAAATATGAACAATAAACCAATAACTAAAACAGTAAGAATATTTTCTAACCAAAATCTTAAAAAATTCTCAAATATGCTGAGTCAGGAGGGTTGGGAAGAGGTCTACTTTGCACCAGTAGAGTTGAAATTTAACATCTTCAACAGTATTTTTATGTATCACTTTGATATGTGCTTTCCTATCACTAAATGTAGAGATACTGATCAAAAAGTCCCTTGGAATAATCATGAGCTAGAAACCGAGAGGAAAAAAATTATAGAAAAAAGCACATTAGGGAGGATAACAAAAAATGAATCTTTAGTGAATTCAGCTAAAGAAATGAACAAAGCATTAAAAAAAATATTTTCAAAGCCAAACAAAGTTATATGGAGGGAAAAATTTTGAGATCAGGGAATGTGTCCAAGACAACTTGGAATTTAATTAATTTAAATATGAAAAACAAAAAAAGGTTGTGAAGAGCATAGATGAAATAGAGGTAAATTCAAAAGTATATAATGACCCTACGGTTAAAAAAAAAACGGTTATATGTAACACTTTTAATGATTTTTATGTCAATGTAGTTGATTCTGATGTAATTCCAAAAATAAATACACCAAATTTATCAGTACCTAATTTAGTAATAAATAACAAAAAAAATAAATTTAGATTCTGTACCGATGGTAGTTAGTTATAAATTGAAATAAACAAAACAAAATCAAATTATTTAACCATTGGCTAGATTAAGATTAAGAAAGAGTGTCCAGCAGTTTAAAAGATTTAGTTTGTAGGGTTGGTAGTGGTGATTGATAACCCATTTCAAGTTTTGTCAGTTAAGTTCACTGGAAATATGGTCTACAAATATGTGGTTGCTGTAGAAATTGTAAGTAGATTTAATATTGTTTAAAAATAAGATTTTAGGAGATTTATTGTATATAGCCTTTGTAGAAATCATTTTTGGGAAAAGATGTAAAGTAAAGAATAGTTTTCAAATCAATTTTAATGCATTTTACAAGAAAAGAAAACAAGTAAAGTTTATACAGACCTGTCGAGTTTTGTTTGAGGAGAAGCACATTTTTCACAAGGATTTGTAAGGATCTTAAATCCACTTTTAATTATTAGAATTTGTAGAGAATAGTTTTTATCTGTTTTGTGTGATGTTTTCAGACAGATATCAACCACTTCTTGTTCACCTTCTTATGATTGATCCAGTAGCTTTTGTACCACTTCTAGTTGCTTTGCATGGTATCTGCTAGTGCCAGTTCTGACCATTAAACCAGTGTCTCTGTTTAAAGTAAGATCTTTCCAGTATTTTTATTATTTAGTACAAGTTTTGGAAGTAATAAGAGTATATTTGATTTTATTGGGAAAGCGTATTTTGTGATATTTGAGAACCATAAAATATATATATTTTTGGCCTATTTAGTCTTTTAATTTATCTCACTTCTACTACCAGCATAAATTAGATTCATCCTAAATTGAAGTATACTACCTAATTGGCTACATGGTAGGGGTATAATGTGAACCAATCAGTGAGACAGATATCAGTAAAATAATTTCCATATTTGATAATTAACTATCATCAGGCTTCGACGATGTTCCCATAACAGTAATAAAGCATGCCCAGAGTTAACTTAAAAAACCATTTGCACACTTAGTAAATTCATCATTTATATCCGGCATATTTCCAGATAAATTAAAAATTTCTAAAGTAAAACCTCTTTATAAAAAAGGGGACCAATTAGATGTTTCAAACTATCGCCCAGTAGCCTTGTTACCTGTCATGTCTAAAATTTATGAAAAAGCTATGTATAATCAGCTCGTTAACTTTTTAGAAAGTAATGATCTACTCGATAAAGAGCAGCACGGTTTTAGATCAAACCATTCTGTAATATCAGCGGCTGCTACATATTTTGAGTCATTAATTGATTCTGTAGATAGGGGAGATAAAGTAATTGGAATATTTATGGACCTAAGTAAAGCATTTGACAGTGTATCTCATCATAAATTGTTAAAAAAAATTGGAAGGACTAGGAGTTGTAGGAATTTCACTAAAATGGTTTCAATCATATTTAACTAATAGGAAACAGTTCATAGAAATTACACACTTAAACAATCATAACCAGATGGTTAAAACAAGATCACAGTTGAGAACAATTAAACATGGTGTACCACAGGGTTCTATTTTGGGTCCTCTACTATTTCTTACATATATCAATGGATTACCCAATGTTATTTCAAATTCAACAATGAATACCATCTGTTTATATGCCGATGATTCTAATCTTCTTGTAAGAGGAAAATCTGTTCATGAGATAGAAAAATCTGCCATCGATAACTTGATGAACATCAATAACTTTTTTTCAGATCATCAGCTATTACTAAATCTTTCCAAAACTAATTTTACACGCTTTAATCTAAAAACTAATACCAATTCAGATTACCCAGCACTAACATTAGCCGGTGAAGATATACAAATTGTTGAGAACACTAAATTTCTAGGATTATACATAGACAGTAAATTAAGCTGGAATGATCATATTGATCATGTGGCAAATCGAATGTCAACAGGCCTATTTGCACTTTATCGATTATCAAAATTTTGTAAACTTGAATCCCTAAAATTGGTTTATTTTTCTCATATTCACTCACATTTATCCTTTGGTATAAGTATTTATGGAGGAACATCACAAGCTAATTTAGACAGAATTTTAATTCTCCAGAAAAGAGCAATACGCATTATGTTAAATTTGGATTGGCAAGATTCTGTTAGGGAAAAATTTGGGTCGCCGGAATTGTACCCCCCTGGAATTGTACCCCCCGGTGATCGTTGACGTCATTTTGACGTCACGCCTAGAGGGGGTACAATTCCACCCCGTACACTTTCATTTTAACGAAATCTAATCTATTTAATGTGGGCAAGTGATCTGTGAACCGGATAGTTATATTAGATATTAAAAAAGAGCAGGAGATGTACGGCCCGGAATTGTACCCCCCTGGAATTGTACCCCCCGGAATTGTACCCCCTGCCAACATCAAAATATTTACGTACGGGGTGGAATTGTACCCCCTGGAATTGTACCCCTAATCAGAAAGCCAAATGTGTACGGGGTGGAATTGTACCCCCCGGAATTGTACCCCCCTCTTGGACAGCTAGCTTGGCTTGTGTACGGGCTGGAATTGTACCCACCACCCACTCGATAAACTTAATTGGTATTATGAAAATGAAGTAGTAGAGAATGCCTTATATATATATATTTATATATATATTTTTTATTGTAGTTATTCTTGAATTGGCTTTTTCTTTCAGCCAAATTATTACCAATTAACTGTCATGTCATGTTTCATAAATATTTTGTTTTTTTCAATTTCTAATATTAATTTCCTGATAGCGGAAATCTCTCACGCACGGGCAGCAGCCTATGTGAGAGGCATTTCATATTAATTACTAAGTCAGTATATTATTATAATCATTACATAACTATAAAATTGATACTGACAAAGTACTGTAATAATGTATTACTTACTGAAATAAAAATTATTTTGATTTGATTTTGATTTGATTTGCCTTCTACAGTGACATATGTTGGATTATCAAACCTGTACAGAATATTATAGTGATTGTACTAAAGGAACTATAATTGTGAAGAGATTATCCAAAAATCTGGCTTCGCCACTTTACTTCGCCTCGGGCTATATGCATATTTTATTTATTTATGCATATTTTAAATCACGTTTTCGGTAAATTACCACATTGTATCCGAGATCGCAAGAGATTATAACAAAC